GAGACTTTGGTCATGTTTAGCATGAGAATCCAACTCTTTAGCAGTGTAAATAAGTCAGAATGCATGAAATGGCATTAGACAATAGCATTGTTATCATTATTATGATTTGTTGGAATCGGACAAAAAATAACTGAGCTACACCCATTTGAAGTTGATCACATTTCACTGGTTCAGACTCATGCCATCGAGAATTCACTGTGAATATTCACAAAGCTGGAACGCTGCGCTTTACAACTCTACCGAACTTGTGCTGAGGGGAAGCGGCAGTCATCAAGAAGCGAGCAGAGAAAAAGGTGCACCTCTCAGAAAACATACATATAAAGATCATTTGTGACACTGGAGCACAAAACCAGTCATAAGGGTCAATTTTTTTAAAATTGAGATTTACACATCATCCGAAAGCTGAATAGATAAGCTTTCCATTGATGTATGGTTTGTTATGATAGGACAATATTTGGCTGAGATACAACTATTTGAAAATCTGGAATCTGAGGGTGCAAAAAAATCTAAATATTGAGAAAATCATCTTTAAAGTTGTCCAAATGAAGTTCTTAGCAATGCATATTACTAATCCAAAATTAAGTTTTGATATATTTACGGTAGGAAATTTACAAAATATCTTCATGGAACATGATCTTTACTTAATATCCTAATGATTTTTGGCATAAAAGAAAAATCAATAATTTTGACCCATACAATGTATTGTTGGCTATTGCTACAAATATACCCCAGCGACTTAAGACTGCTTTTGTGCTCCAGGGTCACATTTTAGATGTTTAATTACTATTTGGAGCTTTGGGATCGCTAGACGAGGGCTAAGTTTTTGTGAAACCCTCAAATTCGACCAAAAATGACTTTTTCCACTTGTTTTTTTTTTTTTGTGCCTGTAGCTCAAAATTAGCCCGTGCGTATTCTGACTCATTTTGCCAGCACGGATCACATATATTGCGATTGACCTTGATTATTGTCATTTTGTACTATATTTTGCGTTTCGTGAGTGCAAAAATGTCTCAATACTGGAGACTTGTTGTGTAGTGCTAGTTTTGACACCGTGTTCGCCACAAAATGTCACGGTTTCGGCTCATACTAGCTGTTTGCGTGTGTGTTTCTCTTTCACGTTAGTCTAGGAGCTCCTCAGCATTACGGCCGGACTGACAGCACTTGCTCCTGGTTTCACAGCGTGTGTGTCAGCACCTCCTCAGCGAGAGTTTGAGAGTGGGGCTGTAATGTGAGGCGCTCTGGCAGACAGCACAACAGATTGCTCTTTTAAAGCAGTTTAGCGCAGACACAGACGCGTGTGGGAAGAGCCGGAGTTTAGCCTCCCTCTGAGGATTACTGCAGCTCGCTCACTTGACGCTTTTCTTTGCTTCTAGCTGCTGTCTTGGAGTGTGTTTGTTGTTCTTTGTGTAATGATTCATTGTACTGGATGAAAACACTGATACCAGCTGACCAGCAGTGCTTCAGCGTCTCGTTGATCTGTCTAATGATGTGTGTTGAAGGAAAACACAAGGTTGGGCTGCTTTAAAGTCAGTGTGAAATCAAAGCACCCAAAATGTGCTTATTTACTACACGTTCCTGGTGTTACTGTGAGTGATTCAATGGTGCATGTTATGTACACAGAGAGCTTATATTTGCATTTATGCATTTGGCAGATGCTTTTATCCAAAACGACTTGCATTGCTGGGAATCAAACCCATGACTTTGCCATTGCTGGCACCATTCATTCATTCATTCATTCATTTTTTTTTATTTTATTTACATAACATTTGATATTACATCAAATAAAATTGATAATATCTTATCTAACCTTATAATTTTTATTTAAAATTTTTTTTTAAATATATATTTATTTATTTTATTTATTTATTATTTATGCTACCAGTTTCATTAATTATATTTTCATAACATTTGATATTTACATAAAAGAAAAAATATATATTTTCTGGCCTTCTCATTTTTCTTAATTCCTTCATTCATTCATTCATTCATTCATTCATTCTATCTATGAGTTTTATTCATTATATATTTGCATAACATTTGATCAGTACTGTACATCAAAGAAAATTTCTGATATCTTTTCTGGCTGTCAAATTTTGTTTTTTATTTTCTATTATTTATTTTCTATTTATTTATTTATGCTATCAGTTTTATTCATTATATATTTGCATAACATTTGATTATTACATCAAATAAAATTTATATATTTTCTGGCCTTCTAATTTTTAATTACATTTATTTATTAATTAATTAATTAATTAATTCTATCAGTTTTGTTAATTATATATTTGCATACCATTTAATCATTGCATCAAATAAAATTGATATCTTTTCTGGCTTTAAATAAAAAAAAATTTCTATCTATCTACTTATTTATTCAGTTTTATTCATTATATATTTGCATAATATTTGATCATTGCATCAATGGAAATTAAATCTTTTCTAGCTTTTCGATTTTTATTTTTTAATATTTATTCATTTATTTTATTTATGCTAAACATTTTATTCATTATATATTTACATTTGATTTTTGCATCAAAGCGAATCCATGATACAGTATCTTTTCTGGTTTTCTAAATTGAATAATCTTTTGTTTTTAACCATATGTATATGAAAGCAGTACTAACAATTTGTGTACATCATTATTTTGCTATTCTAAAATAACCCATTCAAAGTAATTTTCAGAAGAATGGATACCAGTTAAAAATGAAGTCAGCTTTTAGATTAATGTTGTTGTCAGGGCTGGACTGGGACAAAAAATCGGCCCAGGCATTTTTTGGTCCAGGCGGCCCACCACCATTTATATATATATATA